ACAGACACTTCAGGCAAATTCTTGGATGCCTGCAGCTGGGGCAACTTCGTACAAAGTGCAAAGGGCAGCACCCTTTTCAGCCCTGCGTTGGGGTGGGGAAGGTTACACAGACAGAGTACACAGCTAGACTGGATTTCACCAACTTCTTTGCAAGTTGCCAACAAACCAGCAAAATCCTTTAGTGGTTTGTGTGCTACAGTGGAGGTCTCGTCAGTGTATCGTTTGACAGCTCCCATCTTCTGCATGTTCAGCCCAGCTCCATGGCAGCTTAGCACTGGGTCACCAGAAAGCAACATTGCTTTAACTGGAGCAGTGAAAGGCAGTAGCATGAGAGCTCTTCCCTGGAGGGTGCCTTGGCATCTACAGGTACAGCCACCTTCAACCAGGGTGCGGATGGGCTTTACTGGGGTGGCTGAGACTAGTAAGCACCCTCCAGGCCGTGGTTTTGTCGCGGTGACGTGGCCTGCTCAGAGCAGCTGGCTTGGTGGCTCTGCCTGCACCTCGGCGCTCACAGGAGGAGCTGTCTGCCCTCGGGCCAGGCATTGGCAGCTCTCCTGAGAGCTCAGTCCATCTCTGCTGCGCCAGCAGGGAGCCGAGGCTATACAAGGCACCCCAAAGCAGTGTAACCTTACGCTGGCCACCAGATTTGGGAGTGTCACATGCTGCAGAGCTTTTTCTGGGCCAGGGATGGGTGTCACGTTTCCCTTGGGTTTCACTCTGGCTGAAGCTGCAAGGACTTTGCTCTGGAGCAAGTTCTGTGGTATCTGTTCTGACTGGAGTTTTCAGAGGTCAGTCACCCTGCTGCCTTCAAACCACAAGGAACCAGGGATTGCCTAAGTCCCAGCACGCTTCTGCTGTGCAGAGCAGGATGTCTCAGGGCACTGCGGCCCTTGGGTTTGTGTTTGGCAGCATTCTGGCAGCAGCAGTACCGCTCTCCCTGGCACCAGAGCAGGGCAGCTCAAACAGCACCTGGCAGCCAGAGGGCAACCAGCGCTCCCTGAGGGCTCCAGCACAGGAGGCTGGTTCAGAAGCTTCCTGAGCAGCTGTGGGAAGAGCACCCTCGGCTGTTCACTCTGAGGACTGGCAGCAGCATCTTCTCCCCCCAGGCCGCAGCACGAGAGCGTGGCTGGTACCCACTCTGGCCAGGAGCTGTTGGCTGTTTCTTCCTGTTGTGTGTGCAGTCTGCCCTGCCCAGCAGCCACACGTCAACATCCCTTGGACTCCTGGAGCGTGTGGCATCTGTCCTGCCCTCATTCACTGTAACAGGACTGTCTCGGAGGAAACAAAAGCACCAAAGACTGAGCTGCTTGGTCACAGCTCCTGCACCCACCAGGGAAAAGAAGCCCAAAGGTTTTTCCTAGCCTGAAACACATCAGTGCCTCCTTCAGACCTGGCAAGCGGAACTTGTTCTGTGCAGCCTTGCCACTCTCCTTCCTGAACAGCTCGGCCGCAGGACTGGGTTTGCACAAAGTTGTGTTGGGCCACCAGGGCTCACTTCTCCTCCCTGCTCTTGGCTTGGCTGGACAGAAGGGCAGCTCTGTGTTCTGCAGGCATGAGTGCTGCTTGGCTGAGGAGGGGGAACTGAGCAGGTGTCCAGGTGCCCTCAGCAGTGCCAGCTGGGGAAGGAAAGCAGAGTGGTGTGGGCAGCTCTGCAAGGCTGCCTTCTCCCCCAGAGCGCAGGGCACAGCTCCCTGATGTCCCACTGCCCAGCAGTGGGTGAGATCTGCAGCCACAGCCCTGGGGACCTGGCCGGCTGCTGGACAACAGCTTGGGCTGCACAGAGCTGTGTGGGAGCGAGCAGACTCGGATCACCTCACCAGGGAGAACGGGCAGTGAAGGGTGAGCCGCTGGCACAGCGCTGCACGAGGTCAAACCCTCACCGGTCTCCATGCTTCTGAACATGAGCGGGGCCCTGGACATGGTGCTGTCCTGGCCGCAGTCTGGGGGGAGGAGGGTCCTGCAGCCCCCCGGGCCCTGCTCTGGGCACAGGAACCGCCGGCCCAGCAGGTCCTAGGCTGCTGCCTCCTAGAGGTGCTCCCTTTGGATGTGCGGGGGCAGGCGGGGCCAGCAGCCCCTGGGGGAGGAGAGCACTGCAGCGTGCTGCCACCTCCTCCTGCAGCTGGCTGGAGAAGAGGTGTGCTTCCACCCGGAACTCCCTGGGAGCGAGGGTGTTGTGAGCTGTGACTGGATGCTCGCAGGCTGCTGCGGGGCTGGAGGGAAGGAGGGACAGTGGTGCTGTGCCAGCACCTGCAGCAGCTCCTCTGGAGCTGAGCTCTGCCTGCACAGCAGATGCCTTCTCTCATCGTTATTCCTTCTGGCAAGGAGTACAAGCTGTCCCAGAGGGCAGACATCTGGGTAGGGGGAAGCACTGCGCTACTCCCCTCTGTTTCCTGTCCTGATGGTGGCAGGATTTTGTTACCATGTAAGCCAGGGCACATCATCCTACACCCACTCCTCTCGAGAGAACTGAAGCAGTGAAGTAGGGACTTTCTGAGCACAAAGCAAGCCCTGGGGAGGACCTAGCTGATGACATGAGCTGTCTCAGTGTTCGGCCGCTTGAAGCGTGGGCAGCCCGCCTGGGTCAGAGTCCTGGTGAGATAGCATGTTTCCCACACAGACCATACAGACCCAAGAAAGCTTTAAAAGGAGGAAGGTCACATGCTTGCCTTCAATCTCCTGCAGTTCTGGGCATGAGAGCCCGAGCTGCATGAGGAGGAACCAAATGTAAGCTGTTCATTGACAGATATGCTTCAGGGGTTGGCAGAAAGAGCAGGCAGCACACTGGCCTTGGGTAGGAGACCCTGCTGGGAGAGCCCCGTCCAAACTTGAAGCTCCCTCCTGTGTTTTCAGGCAGCGGGAATGTGCAATAAATTCCAACAGCCTGCCAGGAGCCTCGGGGCAGCCCTTGAGGGGCAGAGTTTAAATGGTTTCTGTCCATGAGGCAATACCCTGAGTGTCTGGGGGTGTGATCCAGGCATCCACTCGCTGGCAGGTGAGATGTGTGAGGATTGCTTGGTGTGGTCGGAGCTGGCTGTGCCTCGGGTATGGAGCTGGAATTGCCCTGGTGGACAGGATGGACACAGAGCTGGAGCAAGAGCTGATCTGTGTCCTGACGTGCTCTGGGAGGAGGCACTTGCACGTGTGACAGCTGGAGCAGTGTCAGGGCACTGCTGCTTCCCAAAGCCAGCTGATGTATTGGTACCAGTGGACAGACAGCAAACAGACAAACTGCAAGCGCGCTTGTAGCTACAGAAAGCGGTGCCTCCTGGAAAACTGCTTGTGGTGCCTAACAGCCTTCTGCCTGGGGCACAGCGACATTTGGCAGCAGGCAGGGTCCTGTCATCTTCACTGTGCTGGAGCTGTGGGTTTTGACCAGGCATGGCAATGACCCAGTGGACAATGGTTTTAAACTCGAGCAGGGCAGATTTAGATCAGACATTAGGAGGAAGTTTTTTCCTATGAGGGTGCTCAAACACTGGAACAGGCTGCCCAGGGAGGGGGGGCCCGCCCCATCCCTGGGGACATTCAAGGTCAGTCTTGATGGGGCCCTGAGCAGCCTGACCTACTTAGAGATGTTCCTGCTTACTGCAGGGGGTTTGGACTAAGTGACCTTTTGAGGCTCCTTTCCAATTTCAAGCATTCTATGGTTCTGTGAAGAGAAGAGTGAGGAACAGTAGAGGGTTGGTCGAGGAGGAGGTACTCTGGGTATTTGCTGCAACCTGTGGAGGACTAAGGAGCAGGCAGATGTTTCCAGAAGGACCTGCAGCCCATGGAGAGGACCCATGCTGTAGCAGGTTCTCCTGGCAGGGACCCTGTGTCAGTCTGTGCCATGTGGCAGTGGCCCCCAGCAGCACCAGGTCCGACCCAGGGCAGCTGGTCCCACTGGTCCCAGTGCTGTCTGCCGAGAGCCTCGAGCTGCCTTCTCCATCACTAGGTGCCTAACAAACCCTCCAGAGATAATGTACCCAGAACACGGGCTGCTTTGGGGGGTGCCAGGGCTGCAGGTGCCCCAGCCCACAGGTGTCACCTCCCTGTTGGCACACACGGTCACCTTGCCTGGCAGAAAGGGGAAGGGGAAGAAGCAGCTGCTATGTGCAAGCCCCCACCTCCGTTGCCATCCACCTGCTCTGCCCGGAGCAGGGGGCAGGAGGGGCATGTGGTGTTTTGCTGTTTGTTTCTCATTCCCCAAATCTGTTTTAACCGGTGATAAATTAATTTTCCCCAAGTTGAGTCTGTTTTGCTCATGACGATAACAGGTGATCAGTCTCCTTGTCTTTAGGTAACCCACAAGCCTTCTCACTCTTTTCCCACCTTGCCCTGCTGAGTGGCAGCAAGGAACAGACAGGTGGGACTCTGTCCTGTAGCCGCATATGACCCACCACCCTCCTTGTGTGTACTCCCTCCCCAGCACCCCAAGTGCTGCAGGAGTGCTGGGTCCCCTCTAACACTACTGCCCGTGCTGGATTTATCCCACCCCCAGAGGGACAGCTGTGCCAGGCCTGGAGGGGCATCGGTGGCAGCCAGGGGACCCATGGGCACTCTGCTCCATGGCCCTCTGGCTGGCTGGGGAGGCAGCAGGGAGCAGGGAGGCTCTGGGGAAGGCACACGCCTTCCAGGCTCCGCATCTTTCCCTGCTCAGCAACTGCCCATAATGTAGAACACAAGTGCAGGTCCTGGCCGACCTACACTTGTGTCAAGGTCCAAACGTGGCGCAGTCCTGGCAGGCTGTGCCTGGCTGCAGGAAGAAGGGCACCCTACCCCCAGGCACCCTTCGTGGCAGAGGGGTGCTGCAGGGTGGGAGCAGGCAGCGGGTGCTCATGGGGTGGTGCTCGGGTGGCAAACTCACAGGCCAAGGGGCTGTGGCACCCGGCACAGGAGCACAGCACAGCTCATCCTGCAGGTGCTTGCTCTCCAGCAAGCGCAGGCTGGCCGGGGTGGGCGGGGGCACGGTGGCGGCGCCAGGGGCTGCTCCAACTGACGGAGTCCTCCTGTCCCTGCAGTGTACGTGGTGGAGGAGCGGCGGAGGGACGACACGGGCGAGAGCGCCTGCCTGACGGCCTGCTGGACCGCGCTCTGCTGCTGCTGCCTCTGGGACATGCTGACCTGACCTGCTGCCGCCGACTCCCCTACCTCTCACCGAGTGCTATGCAGGCTCCCCACTCCTGTCCCCACTTCTTTCTGTTACTGTAATCAACGCTCTGCTTTGCACAGCCAAGAGTTCCTGTCTGTCCGTCCTAGCGCCTTGTTGGGGTGGGGGGTACACTCCTTTATTTTAGTAAAGGAAAAAAAAAGAAAATCCATTTTTAACATTTCTAAGACTTTTGTTTTAACTTTGAAGAATGTGCTAATGGTGTATTTCAGCCAAAGGCATTCTGATGAAATGTATATTTATCAGTTGAAATTTTCCTTGTCCTAGAAATGGAGACGTACGCAATAATTAAAGCCAACGGTTGATTTTCTTCACTAGGTCCCAGCTGTTTCAGTAAATCTGTCCCGTAGAGGGTGTGCTTGCCCCGCTGCTGTCTGTCCTCAGCCTCCTGGCTCTGCAGCAGCGACGATGGCCTGGGCTTCAAATGGCTTCAAGCAGCTTTGCTGCAGAAGTTCCTCCTTCAGCACCTCCCTGGGGGTGTCTGGACCTGCCATTACCAGCGTCAGGGGGATTTTCTGCAGCAACCTGGCACGGGAACTGGAAAGGACAGTGAAAGCAGCTGGGCTGGGGAGCAAGGAGCGCCTGCGTCGGGCAGCACCAACCCCCTCATCCAGCCCAGAGCAGCTGTCAGGTTTTCACCCTTCTTCATACTCGGGGCTGGACATGCAGGTAGCCCTCTGGGACCAGGGGCCTCTCCAGCAGCTCCTGGGATGGCAGAGAAGCTGGGGACAGCACACACAGAGCTCCTGCTCGTGTGCCAGCAGCTGCTGGGGAGGTCTGATCCCGCATGGGGTTTCAGCAGTGATCTGTCATCCCCCTGCTGCAGCATACTGGCTTGGGGGGTGTGGAGGGTGGTAAATCAATGAGCGAGAAGAAATGAGGCCACGGATTAGTGTAGTGCTGAGGATTTATAGCTGAAGCTGGTTCATAGCCTGCCTGACGAGAAGCGAGATAAAAAGCTTTCCTCTGCAGAGAAGTGGGGAACCTGCTGCTGGTCAGCACAGGGGGTGGGGTTCCAACCCAGCTGCCCACTGCCCCAGGCTGCTGCTCTTCTCTTGGCCTCCAGAGCAAACCCGTTCCTGGTGGACTGGCACACCCTGGCTCTGCTTCTGATTGCCTGAGGATCATCTGGTGATCTTGTGCCCTTTTGCAGCAGGGCTCCAAAGGGTGCTGTGCTTTCTGGGCCCTGGTGTGTGTGTGCGCTCCATCCAGCCTCCCTGAGCCCTCGCAGCAAGTCCTGGGAAGGGAAGAGTGGCCCAGGTTGAGCCCTCACTTGAGGGTTGTGCTTGTCTGGACCTTAAGGCTCCTTCCATGCCCTGGCCAAAGCAGCAGGTCTGTGCCCCTGCTCCTGCATAGGGTCAGCATCCAGGAACGAACACCGGGATAGGGCTCAGCCATGAACTGCATGGAAAGGCCACAGCACCCCACCATGAGGCTTGCTCAGGTGTCACAGCACCCCTCACTGGGTTCCTCTGCGCTGTTTTCTCTGGAAGGTTTCCCCTGAGTAGGTTCCTGCCACAGCCCAGTTGCTTTGTCACTGCCACTTGAATCTTAGAAACGCAGTTTTGAGACTCTGGCCTGGGGCAAGCCAATTTGGTTTGGGTGGAGCCTTTAACCTCCTTGCTTGGGGGCTGCCCCTACCCCACAGGCTGCAGCCCTGAGCGCAGATCTGCTGCCAAGCTCACAGGGGCTCCCTGCCCTGAGAATGGTCACTGTCACCCTCCTGGTCACTGTTACCTCCCTGGCAGCTCAGCAGCCACTGGGGCTTGGAAGGATGGTCCCTGGCTCCGACCTTGGCAGGGCAGTTAAAAGTGATATGTTCAGCTGCTCTGTGCCACTTCTGCTGGTTGCCACCTCCCTCCAGCCCCTCGTCCCAGCCTACACCCACCCAGCCTGGCCTTGGCTGCTCCCCAGAAATGGCCTTGCCAGGCGCAAGGCAAGCCCTCAGCCCTGAGCCATCGCCTCACAGCCACAGGATGGGTCTTGCTCAGCCACAGGTAGAAGCAGGAGCTGGTCTGCCATACATACCCCACCCCCCCCACCAGGGACCACCAAAAAAAGTGGCTGCAGGCCTCAGCTTTTGGGGCTACAGCAGCACATGTGCCTGCAGCAGCCTGACCTCAGTGCCACAGAGGGGACACCACATGCCCCAGGCTGCTCTGGGGCTCCAGCCGCTCTGCACCATGCAGGGCACCAGCTGCCTGGGGCTCCCATGGGGGCAAAATCAGGCCCAGGCTGCTGAGAAGAGAAGGCTCTGCCAGCCCCTGGAGAGCCCGGCCAGCGCCCGGCCAGCGCAGGGGGTGCAACTCAGCCCAGCTGGGTCCAAGGCCCTGGCTGCTGAGCCCAGTTACAGACTCACCCACTCTGCTCAGGCCAGGCCTGGCCCTTGCCCCAGGACCAAAATGGGTGGTCACCTGGTCCAGAATCCACCTGGCTTGCTCACCCCAACACCTGTGCTGGCTGCTGCCAAGCATGGCAGCTGCCAGCAAACACCAAAATCAAGGTTGGGAAGCAGCAGACATAGCAGTTTGTGGTCAGTTATGGGATAAAGCACCTCAGCACCCCCACACAGGAGCTCAGTGAAACCCAGCAGGAAGGGAGTCCAAGTAATACCCAGCCAGGCTGCTCCCAGGCCCATCATAGCAACCATCAGCCCCCCAGAGGTCCATCCATAAGCCTCACAGAGCACACAGACATAATTTTGGAAGAAACAAGCGTGGGAAAATAGCGAGGTATGCAGATGGAAGGAAAATGATGGGTACAAACGCCCAACTGGGCATTAACACTTGTCCAGCACCTGATCAGTGCAGTCTGTCCAGCCTTCCACGCTGTCCTGGCTGAGGGCTCCCTGCTGAGCGGGTGTGTGCAGTGCAGGGTGTGAGCGACTCAGGACTCCGGTGTCCACGGGGCAGCGACCACAGCCAGTCTTACCAGAGACCTGGGGATGTGGGAGAGCGGGTGGCCAAGGGTCAACCCAGCACGTGGCAGCACCTGTGTGTCTGCAGTGAGAGTGACAGGGGTCAGCTACGGGACCTGGCAGCCCCAGCTCAGCTGCTGGCCAGAGAGGAGAAGTGCTGGCAAGCTCCATTTCAGAAAAGCACCCAAGCCAGGAGGAGGCTGGTGCACTGCAAGCACAGAGCACAGGGTGGCAGTGGCCTTCCACCAGCTCACGGCTGCGCTGGGGCTCTGCCAGGCTCCTGCACAGCAGGAGGGAACCAGGGCCTGTCAGCCCTCAGACAGAATAAACAGCCACTCGCCATGGAGCAGGAGGTGCCTGGGATGCCCAGCCCGGCCCTGCTCACCTCCCTTTCACCCCACCACTGCTTTGCCAGCCCCACTCCAGCAGATCAACCCAGCGAGTCCTGCCCAGTGCCATGCAGCACACAGCGTCCCTCAGAGGGCAAGGGCTAATGCTGCTTTCAACAGAATCAGGACTCCTCAAGGGGCCCCCACCCCTCATCCCACCACCACCTCCTTTCTCCACCAAACCCCCACAGCTGCTGCCAGCTGCTGAGGTGGCAGGCGGAGGTAAACGACCTCGGGCTTCACAGCAGAGTTTTATTGGAACTGCCCCCGAGCGGCACTGGCAGAGCCGGGGGTAGCGAGCACAGCGCGGGCAGAGCTGCCCAAAATCACCCAGAGGTCCAGGGGCACCACGCAGCTACTGCGCCCTCCGCGCCAGCAGCATCTCCCGGATGTTGTCTTCCGCTTCCTTCACGCTGCGCTCCAGGTACGACTTCTTCTGCTGCAAGGCAAGAAAAGCCAGAGGGGAGTTAAGGTCCACCTTGCTCCACAAGCAGAGCTGCAGACAGCCTGCTGAGGGCAGTCACGATCCTGCAGGTTTCCCGAAGCCAGGAAAGCAGTTATTCATTTCCAGAGGCATCCTGAAAGCGGTAATATTTAACCTGAGCAATGTTTACAGAGACTTTGAATTTTGTTCCCTCTGAAACCTTCTCCTCAGAGCTGCTGTGGCTGTTGCAACAGCAGAGCTACAAAAACTGGGATAGGAAAACGATGATCAGATCCTGCAATGCCCAGAGCCCTGAAAGGAATTAACATGCCGAGGCCTCCTTATGGAGACAACAGCAAAATCCTTCCACAAGGGTAAAAAAGGCTCTTTTTCCCAGCTAGGTGGGATTTCTACACCCAGACCCTCCTTTCTATCAGAAACTCCCTGGCATCGCCCTGAAGTACATGTGTTTCCTTAATCATCCTTAATTAGGCCAAGCTTGGCAGGGAAGCAGCCTGAAGCTCTGCATCCCAAGATAGGAATTCTGCATGTGGCATTTTTTCCTGCTAGCCTGTGTGCTCCTAGGTGACTGGAAAAAGCAGTGCTTGGCTGTTTTGACTGTTTTCTCTGGGTTTCTCAACAACAGCCACAACAGCCTGTGGTGGATGCGGGGCCAGCAGGCGCAGCCGTGCGAGAGCAGACAGCCCATGCTGATGGATGCTTTGGTGGCAGCAGGAAGAGCATCACTTCAACTGCATTTCATGAGGGGTGTGGGGACCCTCAGGAGGCTTTCAGAGCTGAACTCACCAGAGGTCCACACCAGAGGACCCTAACTGCAACAATGGGGCCAGTGCCTGGGGCTTGCCATGCTTGCAAGATTCTCTTCTCAGCCAAGCCCACCAGGGACGATGCTCCCACAATGTCATGGTGGTTACAGCCACACACCAAGCAGGTTCCTGCAGGCCTGGGGAGCTCGGCAGAGCTTGGTCTCAGGCCAAGCCAGGCACCAATAAGCATTGGCAAGATTATTCTTAAATTACAGCATTTCAGGCCTTGAGCAGCACCCCACCACAAGCTCCACTGACCGCCCCCCCAGCCACAGGCAGAAACGCCTATTATGGCCTGAATGAGCTCCAGAGGCCACCAGGACAGCTGGAGGGGGACAGCAGAGGCAAGAACTGCAAAGCTCATGCTCCCCTGACAGCCTCCCCAATTCCTGCAAGCCTACAGGGAGCTGGGACCTGTAACACTGAAGGAAAACTCATGAGCGTAGGGGCTAGTCCTGCTGCCATTACCCCTCATCCCTCCCCCTGCAGCAGACCTGCAGTGACACTTCCATGCACCCAGCTGAAATGCCCACGCCACGAGGACACTCTTCCAGGCCCATTTCTACATACTGAAGGGGGCTTTGACTGAAACAGCCACGGCTGTTAGCGACAGCCAGGGCCATGGGTACTGCAAAGGGCCCCTTGTCCCTTTCACACAGTCCCCAGACACGTGGGATCCCTCTCACTCACAAGAGCTGCTTTTCAGGAAGCCGCTGGGAGAGGAGGCACAGCGTGGGTTCCTGCTGCCAATGACTTGCTGA